AAAAAAAAAAAAGGCAATGCAGTTGTATTGATCATGCATGAAAAGTATAATATTTGCTTTTTAGCTACATGATTATTTAAGAAAACATATTATATATTCTTCAGTGTGGAAGTATATCACAAAAAAATTCAATGAACCTAGTGATGGTTTGTTTAATAGAGTTCTTAGAAAGTAAGACATTCACTGTTATAATTTTCTCAACAAAATTTAAAAAAAAACAAAGCTAAGCATCATCCACCATAAATTAGCAGTAAATGCTATGCCCTTCTAAATTATCACCAGCTCAAACATAGCCACAATTTTTCAGTTTCATTTGGTGGCCTTCAGATTTTCCCTAGGTTGGGTCCTTGCCTGTTGCTTTGTCTGTAGTTATGTGTATTGCTGCTAAGGAGTCAACATTGATACATTGCTATAAAGTAAACTTAAACATTTATTCAGATTTCACTAGTCCATCCTCTGATTCCCCTTTTTGTTCCAGAATTCAAATTGAGGATTCCATATTGCATTTATTCATCATGTCTCATTAGCCTCCTCTGGCCTATGGCATTTCTCAGATTTCATTGTTTTTGATGAACTTGAAGTTTTTAAGTTCTGATCAGGTAGGTTGTGTCTCACTTGGCATTTATCTGATGTCTTTCTCATTATCATAGAGGTGTTTTGGAGTTTGGAGCAACAATCAACATAGAGATGAAATGCCTTTCTGATGACATGTAGCAGTAGCAGACACACAACATCAACCTAATAACATCAGTGATGGTAAACTCAGTCACTTGGTTAAAGTACTGCTTGCCAGGTTTCTTCTCTCCTTATTCTATTTTCCATTTCCATATTTTTTCATTCCATATTCTATATTGGGACCAAATCATTAAGTTCTGCCCATATTCAAGGTTTAAGATTAAACTCTCCCTACTGGAGGCTCTGGTGATCTCTAGCTATATACTAGTTATCTAACTGGTTATCTCAGCTAACATATATGAGTGTATACTAGTATATTAGTTTTCTACTGCTGCCATAACAAAATTACACAGATTGAGTGAACTTAACAAGCAAAATGTATGTTCTCACAGTTCTGGAGAGTAGAAGTCCAAGATGAAGGTTCGAGCAGGGTTGGTTTCCTCTAAAGCATCTCTCCTTGGCTTCAGAAGGGCCTCTGCCATAATTGTCCCTCTAGGTTCATATGTCCCTGAGGCACTTTCTGTTGCTGCTGAGGTTTTGTTTTCTGTTTTTTTTTTTTTTTTTTTTTTTCTTACAAAGACTGGATTAGGCTTCTACACTAAAGGCCTCATTTTAATTTAATCAATTACCATAAAGTACCACACAAAAATAAATTGGCCTTAGATTATTGGGGCTGAAAGTAATTGAGAACCAGTGGATACCAACAAAATTTCTTTCCTATTCCTAATTGCCTAAAAATAAATAATAAATCTTTGCGTTATAAACTTACATTTATTTATCAAGGAAAATTCCCTTTATAAAAATATTTTTACTGCAGGAAGAGCAACCCCAGAAATATTTATCACCTGAAACTTATTTGAATGACAACACTACTTTTATTTACCCTACATTTCTTCCCCTCAAGTTCCCATAAATTTCCTCACCTCACAGAAACTCAAAATGCCCTTTTCCCTTTGTTTAGCCTAAGAGGGCAGGTAAACTTCAATCATCTGAAGCCTACCTTACATTTTCCCTTCCGTACTCCCAGGTAAGTATATGTTACTTCTGCCCACCCCCATTCAGTCTCTTAATGGTATGGTTCTCAGAATTATAAAGAGATTTTTTTTTTTAACTTCCTTTCTATAATCACCTCTTCAAAGGCCTATCCCTAAATAGTCACTCTCTGAGATACTGTAAGATAAGGCTTCAGTACATGAATTTTGAAGTGACATAGTCCAAAACTATATATCTATCTACCTATCTATTAATTATTTGGATTCTATAAGAAAAATATGTTCTTTATTTATTCAACCTTTCATAAAGTGAATTGTTACTTTATTACTTTGGATTTCAACCCAATACTAAATTATTTATTTTTTTGCTTAATTTTTTCTAGTTTAGGCGCTCTTTCAGATTGGCTCCACTCATTGTTTAAAAAATTTTGTATAGGTCCTCCCCTGGTGGTGCAGCGGTTGAGCTCTGGTTTGCAAGGCTGCCCGCAGCTTCTGCAGCACTGGTTCGATCCCCGGTCACCAGCGAGGGTCCCACAAAAAAAAAAAAAAAAAAAAAAATTGTATATACTCATTGTTTAAAAATAATTTTGAAAACCTTGAATGTGATGGTCCAAGTTCATCTTGTATTTCCCATGCTCCGGTTTGGTATTTTTTCATAGAAACCCTAGTTTCTTTTTGTGCAAAATATCACTTCTTATCACTCTGATCACATTTGACCTTTTTTTTCGGGGGGTGAGGGTATCTGATTCTGTATCTTCAAAACAGCCAGGTAATTCCTGCTGTCATTTTCTTTTTTTTTTTTTTAAAGAAAGTGATTGCCTTTATTTTTTTTAAAGATTCATTTATTTATTTATACAAGCACTGGGTACAGTCAGAAGTGTGGGAGGGTGAGAGAATTCACCAGAGCCAGAGGGGAGAGCAGAGCAGGCAGACTGACGAAGTACACTGCTGAGGGGAGCAGTGGGCGGCAGGAGAGGTCTACGTGCCATGTGGGACCCTCACCCAGCGGCCTGGGATCGAACCGGCGCTGCAGAGGCTGTGGGCAGCTTCGCAACCCAGCGCTCAACCACTGCGCCACCTGGGAGGCCCTGCTGTCATTTTCTTAGTAATCAGAAATACTTAAAATCACATTGTTGAGTTTGTACACATTAATTTATAGTCTGTGTTCATGTAAAGAGCACACTCATTCAGACAGAAAAAAAATTGTCTGTCTTGGTCTCCACAGTTTCAGTACTCTTAAGAGTGCCTGTCATCATCAATACTGACAAGTAATAAATATTTTAGGGTCATTTGAGTCTGGGTAAGTAAAACAGAGTGGGGAGGCTGTTGAGAATCAGGCCCCAGACATGACCAGGCATGTCTACCTCCAGGAAGGCACTGAAACAAAGCAATCTACCACAGATGACCCAGGATTGAAATTCAACCATTCATTGCTTTCATCTGATTTGCATGTTATTATACCAATGGGAACTCCACAGACTTTTATCTTAATTTGCATAATGGGCCACAAATCAAAGCCTGGTCGACTTCTAACCTTAATTTACATAGCTGATCAGAGTGAAGAGTATCCCACTTTTTCTATGCAAATACAAGCCTGATCTCATCCAGTCGGCTTTGAACACAATATAGTACTTTGGGATAAAATTATAAATTTTGGCTTTCCAGGTGATATAAGTATATATTTAAGTTTAAAATAAACTGGAATATTTTCCAAAGTGGCTGGGTAGTTCGGCATATACCCCAGCAATGTATGCTGGTGTCTGTTGGTTTGTGCTTTTGCCAGAGTGTGTTTTTTTTTTTTTTTTTCATATTAGTTATTTTAACAAATGTGGAATTGTATCCCATTAATTTACATTAAGATAATACCTTCCTGGATTAGGGTTAATTCTGTATCCAATAATTGATGTTCCTACAAGAAAGGAGAGATTTGGAGACAGGCCTTGTGACCATCCAGGCAGAGAGCCTAATTATGCTGCAATGCCAGGGGCCTCCAGACACTGTAAAAAGAAACAAAAGATTATTCTCTAAAGCCCTCAGAGTAGAGGTGGTCCTGCCAAAACCTTGAGTCTGGACTTACTGCTGCTAGAACTGAGAGAAAAAACACCTGTTTGTGGGACTTTGTTATGACAGCCCGAGGAAACAAATACGGGAGAGTTCTCAAGTATGATGTTAATTGCAGTTTTTTCCTGATATTTTTATCAGTATGAGGGAGTATTTTTTTTTCCTATTCATAGTTTGAGCAGTGTTTTATTATTACTATTAGCTAGTGAGTGGATAATTCTGTCAGGTGTTTTACTGCCTTTATTAAGAAGGCCATGCAGTTTTTCTCTTCTATTAATATGGTAAATTATAATGTTTTTCATGTTGTGCATACATTGAACAAGTCTTATGTTCTAGGTTCCTATACATTTGATTATAATGTATTATTATATTTATAGACTGCTGGATTCAATTTACTATTTTTTAAAACATTGGTTCATCTATATCTATAAAGCTTATTAGTATAATATTGTCACTAGTGTAATATTATTTATGTGATGGCTAGTTTTGTTGTATGGGTTAAAGCTAGTCTTATGAAATGAGCTGGAGATCTGATTTTTAGGGATGTTACTAAGATGCTGAGAGAGGAAGGTCCTTGCTTTACACCTGAGAGGAGCGTCTAACAGTTAACCTGCACCAAGTCCGACCTATGGGGTGAAACTGAAGCACCCCTTGAACACTGGAGACCATCACAGACTCCACAAGGGGACACAGAGGAGATTCATGCTTCATTGAGCAAGAAATAGTGGGAGTCACCTGCAGACTACAGGCCCAGGATTGGGGATACAGGCGGCAGGGATCAGCCAGGGACCCTGGGAAAGGAAGAACAGAAACACATTCACTCTTGAAAAAGAGAAACCCATTTGGAGGAACTGAGTTTCCTGCGTAGGTTGGGTCTCTGTTAAGAAAAGGTTGCAATTCACCTTCCCCACCCTTTGGGGTTAGTGCTGACCTCACAGAGCACACTGGTAACATGCAGACTGCAGCCCTAGAGAGAAGGCAGAGAAGCGGTCAGTTACCACCAGGAACAGGCCCGCCCATCCCCTGCTAACTCAGCAAGTGCAAGGTCAGGTTTCAGGGCCTACGGAAGCCAGCAACAGCCACCACACTAAATCAGATGGACCCACAGCACCACCTACGAGAGAATACAAAGTTTTAACTCTTTAAGTTACTCTCACGGATATTAAAACAACAGACAGAAAACTGCCTGCCTGAAAACCAGTAGATTCAGCCCCCACGTGCTGGGGAAGCATCTCCTGGTCAAGACCCCTGAGGCTCACCGTGCAGGGCCCCATGGAGTCCACTGGCCTGGAGGGCCTCAGAGGGGGCGAGGGAGCACAGGGTGCCAAGGGCCGGCCTCTGCCGGAGGCCAGAGTGCACTTCCCAGTGACCCGCTTCCTCATGGAGGTAGGCGTCAAGCTGGGCCTGAGGTCCATTCCCATTGCCACGGCCTGCACCATTTACCATAAGTTCTTCTGTGAGGCCAACCTGGACACTTATGACCCCTATTTGGTAGCCTTGGCTTCCCTTTACTTGGCTGGCAAAGTGGAAGAGCAGCACCTGCACATTCAGGACATCATAAATGTGGCCAACACGTACTTCCACCCCAGCAGCGAGCCTTTGCAGCTGGATTCCCGCTTCTGGGAGCTCCGGGACAGCATCGTCCAGTGCGAGCTACTGGTGCTGAGAGTTCTGCAGTTCCAAGTCTCCTTCCAGCATCTGCATAGATATCTGCTCCACTACCTGATTTCCCTCAAGAACTGGCTGAATTGGTACAGCTGGCAGCGGGCCCCCATTTCTGTCACTGCCTGGGCACTGCTGCGGGACAGCTACCATGGGGGCTGTGCCTCCACTTTTGGGCTCAGCACATAGCCGTGGCGGTGCTCTACCTGGCCCTGCAGGCTTATGGGATCAAGGTGCCTGCTGAGGAGCATGCAGAGAAGTCGTGGTGGCAGGTGTTTAGTGAGGACCTCACCAAGCCCCTCATGGATAACATTGTGTCTGATCTCATTCAGATTTACACCATGGACACAGAGCTCCCCTAAGGCTCGGGCCCAGATCTAGCCAAAGAGAAGCAAGATCTCCCAGTCCCCGGGCGATCAGTTGGGAGATTGGGAGGTTTGTGTTGCTGGAAGCTGACTTCTGCAGGAGACAACATGCGGCGGTTTGAGTCTCACGCTTTCCTGTGTCTGGCAGTCAGATACAAAGGGTCGCAGAAGCTGCCTTCAGAGGGCCGGCTAACTGCATGCACCTGATCTGAGGCACCTGGGCCTGCTTTGGCTCTTTCAGAGCCACTGACTAGAATTGATGTGACATCACTGGAAGGAGCATCAAAAGCAAGATAGGATTGCAACACAATTTTTTAAGCCAAATTTATACCAAGTATGAAATGTGCAACATTGAAACCTATTTTGTGTAACAAAAGGCTACAATTCAACAGTAAAAAGTGGGGATTTTGAAGTAGCAAAATGGGAAAACAAATACAGCGCATAGCAACTTTAAGGGTGTATAATACTTGTATTAATATCTGTGGGAGGCCTGGTGGTGGGTGAGATGTGGTAACATACAGTGGAGATGCTGTGAGTCACAGCAGTGTTGTAGACCAATGTAACCTCAATAAAATATATATACAACAAAAAGCAGAGAAGGAAAATAAATCGATACTCCTGCATAAGAGAATTAGTTTAGTTATAAAGAGAAATGATAAATATAAAAAAAAAATAGTGAAAGAAGGTGCAGCCTAATTAAGTTAGACATTTCTGTAGAACACCAAAGCAGGAAAATACAAAAATAAAAGTTATAATTAAATAAATTCATATTAATATTAAATATATATATATCTCAGTAAAGGAAAAGACCAATCTAAGAATTCGTGTGAATTCATATTTATATTTCCTGTTTTAATTCTCTAGGAAGACTGGAAAACAATGGCCACTCTTTGTATCTAGGCTGAGTTGTCCTGATACTATTTCCCACTAAAAGAAATAATTTGATGAATGTGCATGCTTTCAGTTCAGATGTAGACCAGCAAAAGATAGAAAACTTTTAACATCAGAGAAGATAAAAAGTGCAATAGATCAAACTGCATCAAATATACTTAAACTGGAGTTCAAAATAATGCTTTGAAGAAATCTTATGTTTTGGGGTGGTGTAGCTCAGGGATAGAGCATTTGACTTCAAAAACAATCCACATGTTTACCTTTTGAGGATCTAGAAAGTCAACCATTTTGACAGTTACATATGAAGGAAATTATAGCATTCTGCTTTTCTATATTAATGTCACCAAATAACTAACACATTGATAAAGTAATATTTTTCTGAAGCTCTTTTCTAATTCTGGGAAGGGGCTAATTGAAGAAGAAATTTGAGAACTAAGGCAGATCCATTTTGCAACCCTCACTGAATGAATCGAAAATCTATGACTGCTAATATTACAAGAGGGATAATTAAATACTGTATTCTTCCTAATTGAAGTAAACATATTGTCTATGAAGTAATCTTGCCAAAACATTGACCCTAAATCTCATTATACAGAGTGATCCAATTACCAATTAACAAAAATGATGAATGAGAAAGAAGCATATTGAACTACAACATAGTGATCCAATCAGCAAAAGAGGGTCTGTGGGAAACTAGACAAAATGATACAGTTTCTTAGCTAATTAGGTTGCAGCTTTAAAAAATAAAAGATCAAGGGGAACACGTGGGTTTTAAAATAATTAAAAAGATACAAGATTATCAATAGAATGATAGTTTAAAAAAAAAAGACTCAAAAACCAGGCTGTGATTGGGAGGGCATAGTGGGGAGTTGGCAATTTGTATTTTCTGACATAGTAGTTGTTACAAAAGTTGTTGCGCTTATCTTTTAACAATTTGTAAAGTTTTAAACATTTTTATCTAAGTGAATATAAAAATGTTTAAAATAATATTTAAGAAGGAGTTTTGGAAATGCCATGGTAACCACAGTTAAAAGATTTTTTTTTTCCTTTTGGAATACTCAGAGCCTAAATATTTCTAATGCTTTGAATTGTCAAGAGAGTAATTCAGCTTCCAGCATTTACCAGTCAAATTTGTGCAAGAGCCCACCCCTTTTTTCTCAAAATACATATTGACACTCTTTAAGATCATCATTTGTCTCAGTCACATCTCAAGAAACATTCATTATTCCATATATAAAACTGATCTACTTTTATCCAAGCTAAGTGTATATATTCCACTAAAAACATCAATTTTCACATAACTGTGCTTGACTTACTAAGTAGTCTTCAGTCTGGGCAATTTGGTACATTTTAACCAATGCTCATCAGTGAGAATTGATTTTTAAGTGGCAACTGTTTCAGTTCTTATATTGTTGAATTCTGAAATAGCTTCATGTTGATTTTCTGGCATTTCCCATTGCTTTATTCACTGCTGACATCATAAATATTTTTTCAATACAAATATCAACCCTAAGATTAAGCATGACAAGATGAAAGGATATGAAATATAAACCTCACAATTATAGTAAGGTTATATAGGTCTATTATATACCATTATAGCTCTGTCACAATTATATTGAGGTTGTATAGCTGTATTATACCATTATAGCTTTGTTATATACCATTAGATAGAATAACTAAAAGAGTTCACTTAATAGTACTTTCCCCTATTATCTATGTGTAATTCAGTGTGACCTTCCAAAATAGGATCAAATGCTCTGACTTTATAATGACCACATATGATCTTTTCCACTGTGACCCTTGAGGATTCATATTCAGTTGAGATCAAGTAAGTTTAGGAGGCAACATATTCTAGGAAGATGAAGAGAATAATTCACTTTCTGTATTATAAAATAAAAAAATGAACTCTTAAGACTTTATTCTTCACAGTCTTTGAGCAACTCAACTTGTGAGGTCACCTTATGTGACTGGATGATTTAATAAAGAAGCCCTGTGGGTACTTCAGTAACCAGATTCTTAATGTCAAAATTTAACATCCCACAGATTGTGGATGGCTTCCTGCACTTTATTCATTTGATAGGAGCACTGGAGCTAGATAAGTATGATAGATTCAGTAAATTTATTTTTTCTTACTTCAAAGATAAATATTCAATTGACGTAAAACGGAACTAAAAAGGGTCTCCATAAATCTTTCCTAAATAAGCATATTTGTATCAAATACCTACCAACTTTATTAGTTTTCTAGGAGTTCTAACAATAGGAATTTATTTCCTCACAGCTGTGGAAGATCTCAGATCAGCAGGTGTGCTTCTTGTGAGGCTGCTTCTCTTAACTAGAGGATGGCTGCCTTCTTGCTGTGGCCTTACAGGACCTTCTCTCTGCATTAACCCACCATGGTCTTCCTTTCTCTTCTAAGGACATTACTCAGACTGGATTAGGGCCCCATCTTAGAGACCTCATTTACCCTTAATTACTTCTTTATCTACTCTTATCTCCAAACATAGTCACATCAGGGATAAGAGCTTTAGTTTATAAATTTCACAAAGACACTTCATAACCCAAACTCAATCCAATTGAATGTGTAACTCAACATGGTGCTTATTCAGAAAATTAAATAAGCTTAATGGTATAATAAATTTTTTCATTGAGCATATCTATTAATTACCTTTTAATTGCCAGGCATCAACTGTACTAAACCCTGGAAATGGGAAAAAGGGAACATGGTTCCTACACCCAGAGAGGTTGAATTAACAGGTGCTTAAGATACCACAGAGTGATGAGCACCACCATTCTGAAAACATGGTGTTTTCAGAGGGAGAGGAAATGTAGGTACACCGAACTTGAACTTTAGGTGTGAGGGGTACATTTACAGAGAAAATATTACATAGGTGACAAGAGAAAGAATATATTAAGGGTGAAAAATGAATGGGGAGTGTCATCGAACATACCATATGGGGAGGCAGGAAAACTAGCAAGGCCAAATCTCACTGGCAAAGGTTGTTCAAAGATTTGGGAATTTTGAAATAACAGAATCTGACTGAAGTTCAATTGAAAGGTGTTGCAGAGAAAAGGGCTGGAAGATGTGTTTCTTCAGATTTTTACTAGATGACACAAGTGTTCCTCTGAGACCAGTTGCTAGTTATGAAAACTAAAAGTGCACCTACATTGTCAAATATTTCTTGGTTGGAAATCACTGCTCTAGAATAAGCCTCTGTCTTACTATGTATTTGAAAATGTAGAGAGTCAAGAAAAACTCATTTGCTTTAAGAAGACACAAGGATTCTAAATTTGATTGGTGGTTTTAATTCCATAGATCTTTTTGGATTTAAATAGTTTATCCATATTAAATTAAAGGACAACTTGAAGGGCTAGCTACATACCTGTGTTCACTGTAGCACTATTTATAAAGTCAAAGTATAGAAGCAACCTAAATGATCAACAAAAGATGAGTGGACTAAAGATGTGGTGCAACAGAATAGAATTTGCTTAAAAAAAATGATGAAATCTTGTCATTTGCAAAAACATGGCTGAAACTGGAGAGGATTATGCTATGCAAAATAAGTCAAGAAAGACAAATGCTAGATGATTTCACATATACGTAGAACATAGAGAAGCAAAAGAAAGGAACAGTTAAAATTAAACCAAAACAAATTCTAGAAATATGACTGGATTTGAGGGTAACAGAGGTGGAACATGGGGGTGAAGATTAAAGAGGGGAGGGTTCCCATTGGGTATGGTGGAGGAGTATGGGTGCCTTGGTGTGGTGAGAGTGGTATAGTAACATAAACCTGAAGAGGTTTGAACTTATAACTGAATCATATACAGTGTTGTGAAACAGCATTACTTAAAAAACTTATGTATACATATACATATATATACATATCTATACATTATATTAAGCCTTGCTATTTTCATAAGTTTGGGCTATTGTAACAGAAAACCGTGGACTAGTGGCAACAGAACTTATCTCACATGTCTGGAGTCTCAAGATACTGATGAGGGGCTAGTGTGATCAGGTTCTGGTGAGGATGGTCTTCTGGGTTGCAGCCACATTATCTAGTTGTTTCTTCACATGGTGAAAAGATTAGACAGTTCTCTGGTCTCTT